AGATGGTTGATAAACACAACTTGGCAACATCGCGAAGTGGAGTTTGTCCGATGTTGTCCATCGGTAAGGTTAGGCATTGCGACCTCGTGACTAGTAAAAACAAGGGTCCACCACATAGCCTTGCCTTGCTGGGCGGGGGCATGTAGTGTTGATGCAGGTGCTGCATCACAAGGTTTAGTGGAGCGAGCAGTTGGGATGGGCCCATACCATCTTTCTCCTCGTGCGGGTGGTCGTTCACTCAAGGAATATCAAGCCTCCCCATGGTTCCTTTTGGGCTGGTTCCCCAGTGGAGTATTCCACAAGTCTTGGGCATCTGCACCTGATGGCGCGGTTCCAATCCGCATCGGGAGCACTGAATCGTGTCGCCGTCTCTCAGCTGACTTTAGCCAGGGCCTTAAGAATCTTATTTGCGGATTCGACAAGAGAAGAACCACAAGTGGCAAGACTCTTTTTCAAGTTTGTAGTTTGTGGTTTTCCTTCACACGCCAAACACGGCACGTGTTCAACATTTGGTTTGTTTTTCTCTCTTCACGCGGAACCAATGGCCCGTTGATTCCCTCAAACAAAGAAACACACACAGACACTCCGCCGCGCCTTCTTCGCGGCTTTTGGTTTTTCTCCTGCCATGCCGGTGCCATCAGGCGATTGCTGGCGGGGTTTATGGGTTACTGAAATTTAAATATCAGATGGGTTTACGGGTTTATGTGTTTCTTCTTCATTTTTCTTGTTTAACAAATCATCTGAGACCTGAATGATCATGGGATCGCTCCATTACCCTTCAACAGTTTCGATCGTTTTTTAGACCTTCAAATCTGAGAGACCTGATGCAGGAATCACGCACATTTCCTGTTTAGACCCTTCAAAAGTTGCAACTTTAGGGGAAAGCCGGTGCCTGTAAGGGGGCAGGGAAGGGGAGTTCTCCAAATGGGCGGCTCGAGTTTCTGTTTTTGGAGTCGGTCCCCCCTTTCTGTTTTTGCTTTTTGTGGGGTAATGTAAACCACAAGTTTCAGTTTTCCCGTCAGGGTTGTTGTTTCGATGGGTAGTATTGAGATTTGACCCCTGTTCCTGTAGAGGGTAGATGAGAACACCACCCCCCCCCCGTAACTACGAAACCGCCAATCCAAACCACCAATCCAAACCACTAATGGAAACCACACGCTGAAAGTCTACAACAGGCCCTTTACACGGGATGACCATCGGGGAAACCAAACACCCTGTTTTATATTTCCCACATGGGAAAAGTTACCCACTTCGGGGGCCACGAATATAGAACGACTCTCTCACGGCAATTCTACCACGCTCTCGCTAAGCATGCCCTTCTTTTCGGACATCCTTAGAATGTCAGCGCCATGTTGGTCCCTGGTGAATATTGAACATAAGCGGAGACCCTCCTTTTCAAACTGCACAGAATGATGCGTATTGGTGCAGAGTTCCTTCCCATGGGAATAGTAGGCGCTTGCTAAGAGCTTCCTTCTTGTTCTTATCTGGACAGCCCCAATGCTCTTCAACGGTACTCGAGAGGGCCTAGGGGAGTGGGAAGCCCTTTTGTTGCACTTGCCGCGGAGTATCCATCGCCTTGCTACCCGTTTGTGTGTTCCTATGGTTTTCCGTTGTCCCAGCTTTCTGTTAGCATTTGGTTTGCCTTCATTTTCCACTTTCCTTTTAAGTTCCCCATTAGGTGATGTCACGGGTTTTTGGTTACAGGACCCCGAATCAGAGCACCAATCGGAAAGCAACGCCAACAAAGCTGGATTCCGGTTTCGATTCGGGGGTCGGGGGGAAAAAAAAACACCCACCTGGGCCCTATCTTCAGAAAAACTGCCCCAAACTCCTCAAACACATGACGCGCCCAAGTTGACGGCAAAGCTTACTGTTTGTTTTGGTTATGTCAATCTTGGTAGCTTTTTGGTCCATTCTCATTTTGCTCGCTTGCCTGCCTGACCTGATTGCCTGCTTGCTCGGCTCGCTCGGCGGTCGGTCGGTCGGTCAGTCGGTTGCTTGCTTTGTTTGGTTTGTGATTTTCTTCGGTTTAGGGTGGACTGCTTGAAACCAATGATGTTGATTGGTTTTTAATGCCCCGCAGAAGTTGCCAGAAGGGTGGACCGCCAAGGAACAGGTCCATTCGCCGCAATGGGAATATGGGCAGTGGCTGTAGGTCCGCCCCAAGCCGTCCCGCTCGTTGTTCTTCCCTCCAGAAAGGCGGGAGAGGCGCCTGAGGAGGCCGCGAGGCAGGCGAAAGGGCCGTGGTTTTGCCGGCGATGAGCGAATTGTTTCAGAGGCTTGCCTTCAATTTCAGTGGGGGTTGGAAGTCGGGCATGCCCAAAATCTGTCCACTTCCCCGAAGTCCTGAAAGACGCGTGTGCGTTGGCCCAACGAGATTCCGGCTCAGTGGCCATCTCCTAAACCAGCAAAGAGTTCCACGTTTTGGGTGTTGGGCAAATTGGGTTGGAAGCGCCGCATCCGTCTTACAATGCAGTCCGGTGGAACATGGGTCGTAATGCTCACCTCCAACCATTTCTGAACTTGTCCATTTCGAGGGAAATATCGCGATTTGATGGGAAACAACGTAGTTTTGACTTGTCCGGGCCGATTCCATTCAGGAAGTAAGTACGATGCTGGAGAAACTTGTGTAGCCCCGTACTGAGGGGTGACCCCTTTTTGCTACATGCATCGAAGCTGTGCCGTAGCAGTTGCGCCTTATTTGATTGTTATACCTTGAGTTGCCACCGGAAAGCCCAAGGGAGTGGCCCTGTTACAGATTTGTTGTAGCAGAGTTGCCCATTTTGTGGGTCTATGGCGTAGCTCACCAATCCCTGTAGTGCTGTTTCATGTTGCTATGTCAGTGGGACAGGCTGAGTGCCAGTTGATCTCGACAGACAACTTCCTACAAGCTGTAAATGGCAACCTCGGTATTGACAGAACTTATGTAAGAGAAATTCTGAGCAACGGACTCAGCCAAAGAGAACTAATCTCCGCGAGTGCTGAATCGGTTTTGATTCATTCGCGTGGTTGTATTTATTGACGGCATCCTTTTCGGGTTGGGCCTTCAACAGTTTGATTCAATAAAGGGGGTATGGCGTCAAATCCCGGCGAAATCCAACACAGGCCGGGTTGAGGTTGAACCAGGCGCGCGGGCTATCCAGAAGTTGTCGGGCAGATCGGTCGCACGAACAACCAGCGTAGCAGAAGAGCTTGGAAGACTGGCTGCCAGCCGAAAAATCTGTGGCAGCTGTGGGACCCCCTTTCAGCGCCCACCCAAAACCCGCGTGTTCGCCGGGCGAATCCGCGGCTTTCGGAGAGCCCGGCCCATGGGAGGGACCCCAGGCGCCTTTCCGCCCGTCCCAACCGACCGCCCCCGCGGGGGTTTTCTCTTTCGCCAGGCGCCGGCCTGGGCGCCGGCGCAGATCGGAGCCGGCCTCGAGGCGGGATCTGTCCGCCTCGGGAGCAGGGCCATGGACTCGGAGCCTCGAAACTGAGATGACTTGGTTTGTCCCAACCAGTGGTTGAAAGCTTGGCTGCTGGTAAGATGGTGACATGGTCAGTGAGGGACGAGGCCTCTTGGCACCAAGCACCGAGTTGACCAAGTTGCGTGAAATCGCAGTAATTACCTGCTGCCACACGTTTTCTGCTCGGTGTTCTGCTCGCGCAGGCGTTTTTGAGGTGCCCGAAGCAACTGTCAGAGGACAGCGCGGAGGTCAGGCAACACCCAGCACCATCTCCAGGCAGATGAGGCAGCGCCCCAAGCGCCACAGAAAATGCTCCAGACACAAAGATTTGATGAGTTGGTTATTTAAATAATTAGTGTTTATCAGTTTTTTCGTTTGCAACAAGAGCCCCCGTTTCCTTCTTCGGGAGGGTGTGCCGGGTGACATGGCTGCCATGGCCGGCCTTCCGTGGCCGGACGTTTGCATTTCAGCGCTGCTGCAAGCTCTGGGCTGGCGGGGCTCGGGCCCATTGCGAATGCTGTGCCGCTGCAGCCTTGAGCAAGCGCAGGCGCACGCTGAGGCGGGCAGGTTGCGCTTTCTGGGGTCTCCTCTGATTCTTATTCTGTTTGTTTACATTTTAAGGTCGCCTCTGCAGTGATTGGCGGTGAACACCAAGTTGTGGTCATGTTGCACCGGCTTTTCTTTCGAACACCTGTTGCGAGCGTACCTGTCAGGAGACCGTGGCGAGCTGGGACGCGGAGGCGCGCGGCGTCTTCCGCGCCATGGCCGGCGCGGCCCAAACCGCCGCCGGCTCGGAGCCCGAGGAGCAGCTGCGCTCGGCGCGGGCGATGCGGCGCAGCGCCCGGCGCGTCCTGGGGATCCTCCAGGTGCGATCCATTCGGGGAGGGGGAGGGGGGGGGGGGGAGAGACAATTCCCCCAGCAAAGCCATGGGAACCACCTGGATCGCCAGTTGCTGCTTTTTTCCATCTTCACCCCAAAAACCAGCAACAGTGACTGAAAAAAGCCCCAAAGGCATTTCCCCCCCCCCAAGCATGGTAACAGCTTCCCTCGAAGCGGTAGGTGATGGCCGCCATGGTAAGTCTCCGAAGTAGTTCTTAACCGGGCTCCAGGCGCCGGAAGCCGGGAACTTCGATGTGCAGGACATGCCTGGGCTGGATGCCGGGCAGCTTTTCGAGGTCATGGCGAGGGAGCTGCAACATGCCGTGCCCGCTTGCCCCGCTGAGCACATCTTCGCGGCTCGCAGGGCGCTGCAAGCCGCCCGCAGGGTGGAGGAGTTTCACTATGCCTTGGAGAATGTGCCCTCCACAGTGGTGTCTGCAGCTGGGAGGTTGCGCCCAGCCACCCGCCCTGCCATTTACATTACGAGTGAAGGAAGCGATGCGCCCGAGTCCGCCCAGTCTGATGATTTTGTGGCGCCTACGATGGATTCTGGGACGACGCTGGATGTGCCCACTTCTTCCTTTGGACCCTTTAGGCTGGAGGGAACGACGCAGACAGATGCGGCCATGCGGAGCTCGAGCGGTGTGCGTGAGATCCTTCCCCAAGTAGAGGAGGAGGAGCCGGAGCTGGGCGGAGAGGATGCGGCTCTCGTTGCGGCAGCTCAGCACATTGCGCTGCAGCGGCAACTCCTGCGTGCCAACTTCAGAACATGTCCGGCAGGGCATGACCTTCAGGAGCGGGAGGATAGGAGAACCTGCGACCTTTGCGGGGCAGAGATGAACGGGGTGAGCTTGTGCTGTGTCCAGTGCGAGTGGGACATATGCCAAGAGTGCACTGGCCTGGCTGGCCTTCCCCGTGCTCGCGAGGCAGATGAGGACGTGCCCCAAAGGGCTGGCTGGTGGATGCTACAGAGGCAAAGTGCAATGCTGCAGGAGAAGGGCGATCTCCCCGGAGCTGCAGCGCTCTTGGAGGCAGCCCTCAAACGACTGCGGCCAGGTGGCCAGGATTTTGATGATCCAGAGGTGGCCTACAGCTTCTTGCACATGCTCGGCCAGTTGCTGAAGCAGAAAGGAGACCTGGAAAAAGCCGAGGAGCACCTGAAGGAGGCACTGAGGATGAATATGTCCATCTATGGTGGCGCCGACCACGCGAACGTTGCAGCCACTCTGCATGAGCTGGGCGTGTTGCTGAAGCAGAAAGGCGACCTGGAGCAAGCCGAGGAGTGCTTCAAGGAGGAGTTGAGGATGGAACTGTCCATCTATGGTGGCGCCGACCACGCGAACGTTGCAGCCACTCTGCATGAGCTGGGCGTGTTGCTGGAGCAGAAAGGCGACTTGAAGCAAGCCGAGGAGCACATGAAGGAGGCTTTGAGGATGGAACAGTCCGTCTATGGTGGCGCCGACCACGCGAACGTTGCAGCCACTCTGCATGAGCTGGGCAGTCTGCTGAAGCAGAAAGGCGACCTGGAGCAAGCCGAGGATGCTTCAAGGAGGAGTGAGGATTGAACAGTCCACTATGTGGCGGCCGACCACGCGACGTTGCAGCCTACTCTGCATGAGCTGGGCGTGTTGCTGGAGCAGAAGGCGACTTGAAGCAAGCCGAGGAGCACATGAAGGAGGCGCTGAGGATGCAGAAATCCGTCTATGGTGGTGCCGACCACGTGAACGTTGCAGCCAATTTGCGTGCGCTGGGCAGGCTGCTGAAGCAGAAAGGCGACCTGTAGCAAGCCGAGGAGTGCTTCAAGGAGGAGTTGAAGATGGTACAGTCCATCTATGGTGGCGCCGACCACGCGAACGTTGCAGCCACTCTGCATGAGCTGGGCGTGTTGCTGAAGCAGAAAGGACGCCTGTGTCAAGCCGAGGAGCACCTGAAGAAGGCACTCAGGATGGGGAAGTCCGTCTATGGTGGCGCCGACCACGCGAACGTTGCAGCCACTCTGCGTGAGCTGGGCATGTTGCAGAAGCAGAAAGGAGACCTGAAGCAAGCCGAGGAGCACCTGAAGGAGGCGCTGAGGATGAATATGTCCGTCTATGGTGGCGCCGACCACGCAAACGTTGCAGCCACTTTGCTTGAGCTGGGCATGCTGCTGGAGCAGAAAGGCGACTTGAAGCAAGCCGAGGAGCACTTGAAGAAGGCGCTGAGGATGCAGAAATCCGTCTATGGTGGTGCCGACCACGTGAACGTTGCAGCCAATTTGCGTGCGCTGGGGCTGCTGAAGCAGAAAGGCGACCTGGAGCAAGCCGAGGAGCACATGAAGGAGGCTTTGAGGATGGAACAGTCCGTCTATGGTGGCGCCGACCACGCGAACGTTGCAGCCACTCTGCATGAGCTGGGCGTGTTGCTGGAGCAGAAAGGCGACTTGAAGCAAGCCGAGGAGCACATGAAGGAGGCTTTGAGGATGGAACAGTCCGTCTATGGTGGCGCCGACCACGCGAACGTTGCAGCCACTCTGCATGAGCTGGGCG